AATTAAGAAAACGGTCCCATGCACAAGGGCCGCAGAAAGAATGAAATACTTAGGAGCGAAAGACTGAAAACTGTAAAACGCTGGTTGAAGAAACCGAGGATGACACAAATGGGAAGGGCCCCATGCTCCTGCACTGGGCAGTTAACACCCTGAAAAGGCCCACACAACCCAAAGCCATCCACAGATTCGCTGCACTCCCCATCAAAATTCCCATGATATTTTCACAGAAACCGAAAACAATCCTAAAATTCGTATGGAGCCACGAGACCCCGGAAAGCTAAAGCACATCAGAAAGTCATTTAGTACACAAGAATGCCACGCTGGAAACTCCACTCTGGTCTCCGCCCTTGGGGAAACCAGCCTTTGCCAACTGCTCTGGGCCCGTCTCGTCCCCGGCAAGGTCCCCTGTGGTGGACACCGTGCTCACAGGGAGGTGCATGAGCCCGGCAGATGCGTGGGAGCAGCTCACCCCAGACTGTGTCTTGGGGCTCAGGGACTCTGGCCGACAGCCCACAGGGCACATCCCCTCCACGGATCTCGGGAGGAGGGGCAGCCAGGCTAGGGCACAATGGCAGCTCCTGTCCCAGGACCTGCCAGAGGAGGAGCTCCCACAAGTCTCCCGACACAAAGTGTGACCCCAGGACGTGGAGAGGGAGTGCAGACGAGCTCGGTGCCCTCCCGGGACTCTGCCACTGCAGGGAGAGGCCTGAGGGGAGCCTGGGCCTCAGAAGGCACCGCCCCATGGGCCCAGAGCCACAAGCACAGTCCTCGGCCCGCCAGGGTCACAGACAGAAGCCACGTTTGTGCCATTTTCCAACAGGTGAGCAATTCCAGAGAACGTGCGTGAAATCCAAAGACGGTGAGCGAGGGGGGCCCAGAGCCGGGGTGCTGCACACATCCTGCCTGGAGCAGCCCCGAGGGGAGACGGGAACAAGCCAGGGGTGGCGGCGCAGCTGGAACGTCCAGTGTGCCAGGGAAGCATCGTTTGAGGCCCCTCTACCAGGGAGGGTCCCCCAAGTTGAGAGCTCTAGGGAAGCACAGCTGAGCGGCTTTCTTGCCAAGAACCAACCCATCCACCCCGGAGGTTTAACGCAGGGAGGGCCCAGGCCCACAGTGGAGTGAGCGGTGGGGGCCCAGCCCCAAGGCTGCAGCCCCACAGGGGCAGTCCGGCAGGGGGACGGCGGTAATCCCGGTCACATGACAGGCGTCCACCCGGGGTGCTCCAGATAACCCCCCAAGAGGCACCTTACGCACTGAACTGTGTTCCCCCAAATTCACAGGTTGTAGGCCCCCAACCCGCGGCGGGACAGGGCTTAGACACAGGGCCTCTGCACAGCGAGTACGGTTAAGGAGGCCACAGGGGGCCCTGATCTGCTAATCTGGCACCCCTACCAAGAGGAAGACAGGCCAGAGAGCGCTCTCCCCACGTGAGGACGGGGTGCGCAGGCCACCACCCGTGAACCAGGACGGCAGCTCGCACGGGAGCCACCTGTGCAGACACCCTGCTCTCCGACTTGGGTCATCCACCACGGAGAGAACGGACACGTGCCGTGGCCTGTCGGCAGTGGCCGGTTGCGGCGGCGACAGCCCCCTCTGGAGGGTGTCCCCCAGGGAGGTGTCAGGTCACACGAGGAGGCCGGGCAGGACCTCTGGAGCTGCAGGAAGCCGGGAGGTGCCCAGGGATGGCACAGAACGGTGAGGACGGGACAGGCAACCTGCACCCAGCATCTCACAACCGTCTGGTACAGCTGTTGGCGTCAGAGAGCCCGTGCGGGTCCGCGGCGGTTAAGTCGAGTGTATGTTCCACTCAGTTTCCTTCTTTACTTCGTGCCTTTTGCTGTCCGAGGATCCCATCCCATCCGGGACACGTCGTGTGCAGGGATCCTGCCTTTTCGGGCTTCTCCGGGCTGACGCCAGTTTCCCAACTTCCCTTGGTTTCCTTGATGTTGACCGGCTTGAGGCGTACCGGTCGGGAACCCTGCAGAACCTGACTCAGGATCCGTCTGACGTTTTGCTCGGGGTTGGACTGGGGTCCAGGGTTCGGGAGGAAGCCCACGGGTGAAGGGCCCTCCTCGTCCCGCCCCATCAGGGCGCCTGCCGTCGGTCGGCCTGACTGATCCCCGAGGTGTCCGCCTCGGTCACCTGGCTGAGGCTCCCCCACCCCCACCCCCGTCCACCCTGCCCTCCGGGCGGGAGCCCGTGTGCGCAGCCCACGCGGAGGGAGGGGGTTCGGCCCCAGCAACTCCAGGGCCCGGTATCTGCGGACGTGTTTGGAATCCTCTGCGTCGGAGACTTGTCTCTTGGCTCATTTACTCACGAGTCTGTCTTACGTCATCAGGGACTCAGGCCTGATTTTAGGTTTCGAGTTTCGTACTCTGTTGGGGAGCCTGCTCCAGCTTCGGCCCCACCCGGTGGGGTGCGAGCTCGTCCTCCCTCTCTGGCACACCAGCCCCGCCCCAGCCCTGCAGTCCGCGGGAGGACGCCGAGCTCCCGACATCACTGTCAAGTCGCAGCAGAACGGTGCGGGAGCTGTCAGAATGGGGACCCCCGCCCCCACGACCCCCACCCCCACCAGCTCTGAGTCTGCCCTCGTCCCAGACAGCAAAGCCGACGTGCCTCCTGGCAGGCGCAGACCAAGGGGTTGGCTTGGGGAAGAGAAGGAAGTCAGAGAGAAGACTGAACAAAACAAGGGGGCAGCCTGGCAGATCGTTGGCCCCAACGGGTTAGGGACTGACCACCTCCCCTCCGCGGCTACAGACCGAGGGCGAAGGCCTCTCTCATCCGAGTCATCAGCATCCAAGCACCGCGGGAAGGGCGGGACGCCTCCCTTCCACCGTCCGGGGCTGGGGAGCCAGAGGCAAAGCTGGCGGCCGAGTACCAGAGGTCCAGCAACCCGCTCCCACGGCCGGGGCTCTCCGGGAGGCCGCTGCCCCCTCCGGCCACAGCCACCTGCACCAGCACCGTTTCCAACAACGTGCAACGTGCCCGGGGGGCAGGGGCCCGGGGGCCACCTCCCTTTGGCACGGCCGGCTCTGGATCGTCTGTGCTGTTTAAATGCCTGTTTTCACGCCTGTGCTGACCTCATTCACATTCATGCCACTTCCTAGCTGGGAGCCTGGACAGAGCAGGTGTCTCCAGACCCTCCACTGACACACGACACCGGAGGCCTTCACGCTCCCTCGTGAGGGTTAAAGAGCTACTCTAATGGCCCAGCTAGTAAACACCCCAGTTTAGGGGAGAGTGATCGCCCGAACGCCATCCCGTGATTACTATGTATTTTCATTGCCAAAAGATGCAATACAATTTCATGGTTACTTGGGCCTGTAAAATAGAAATATCCCCAATTTTTAAGATATGAAAAGGTTTATGACCAGGGTACTGTCAGTTCAAGAATGAGTCCACGGTACAAATGAGTCAATTCATGACAAAATTTAATTTCAGGAAAATTAACTCAATAAAGATGCCACAACTGTGCTTAAAGTTTTAATACCTATTAGGAGTTTTAGCGAGGTGGCGCAGGACCACGGACGCGCAGATCCATTTCCTGGCTCCTCAAAACACAATTGACTTCATACCTAATTTATCCGTAATGGGGACAGTATTACAAGGAACCTGGTGTTTAATGAAGAGGCAGGGTCTTCAACAGCCTAACCCATCACAAATGGAGAGCGTTCCCAAGTCACGGGATATTAAGTTTGTTTCCTGTGATGCTGCTGAGACCCAGTTAATAGCACCAGACTGATGGCCACTTTAACCAAACAGCCCAAGGAAGGCTTTATGTCCCAGCAAATGTCGGTGGCCAGAAACTCTGTAATTGCCGGGTCCCCAGAAAAGTAAAACCAAAGTGGGGCATCTGCACACAAGCGGCTGAGTGGTCCTAAATTCCGTAGTGAGCATCACCAGAATACGCGAGCGGCAAGAAAGGATGGCCAAGTCCAAATGCTGGGCTTCAGAACCACAAGACGGTCACGGGCCCTGCGTGGGGCACAAGGACCACCGTCAGGAACAGAACTCTGAGGACTCCCGTGACCGCAGGCTCAGAGTAGGACGGCGGCAGGCACGGGGGCTCCGACCCCACAGGAAGAACGCACGGTCCACACCAAGGCCCCTTCGATGGAGGGAAGGGGAGTGGAGGGCAGGACAAGCTCTAAGGCCTCCTGCCTCCTGCCCACACGGTCACGGATGTCCACAGACGAGGCTCCCTCGGCGGAGCCCAGCCCACCGGCCGGGACTGACGCTGCCCGCAAAGCAGCCACCGTGGGGAGCTCCCTTCCCGGTCTCCGAAGGTACACCACCCCCCCACCGGTCTAGGGCCCGCGGAGGGCTGTCGCCCACGGCAGCAAACACCCTGCCTCTCGGTGAAGAAACCGGCCTCCGCGGACCCCGCTCCCGGTCACGTAAGGCTCCTGCCATCTGCAGTGATGACGAACAGCGGGCGTGTGAGCCCCGCGGCGCGGCCTCGGCTTCGGCAAACATCTCCAACAAGATGAAAAGGTGCTAGAATAAGCAAGGGGATACTCGAGGGAACAAAGGTGGTTTGTTCCAGAAAACTCAATCTCCTGAAGAAACGAGTTCCATCAAAATCGGTGGAGAGGAGAAAATTTCATATTGCACTGACTCTGTCAGTGATTTTTTTAAAAAAACTTTATTATGAGTAAACTCAAAACGGAGACCACACGTGAGTCCTGAGTGTGATCATTCCCAGCTGCTGCGGCTCAGGCACAGAGCCCGCCGGAACCCCGGGATCTGGACCCAAGGTAAGCGCTCGCGAGCCCCAGGGATGCAGTCACCGCGCGGTCGGAATGAAGTTCAGCTACAAACTGAACTACGGCAAGTTCTTCCCGGTTTTACGTCGACTCAGACGACAAGACGCCAGGGACGGACTTTCAAAAGACCGCCTTTCACCGAGCAGATGCCGAGAGGGCAAGGGCAGGTGCAGCTCACAGGCCCCGGCGGAGCGCAGTGGGGGGAGGCGGGCGGGCGCGCACAGGACAGCTCACCTGGTAGGTGTCCCACAGGCGGATGGTGCAGTGGAGGGGCACCTCCCTCATCAGCAGGTTGTTCATCCAGCGGAAGGCGAACTGCAGGTAACGCACCTCGTGCTGCTCCAGGTGCCGGTGCACTTGCTCTGCACGAGACAAACACAGGCCCCGAGGCCGTCAGCCGAGAGCCCCCTGGGGTCCACCTCAGAGCCACCCCCCCCAACCGCCAGACACCCGGGCCTCGTCCCCAGGGAGCCAGGAAGCCATTTAGATGGACTCTTGCTCCGGGAAAGTGAGCGGTGGCAGCCGCAGTGGCACGAGGACACCGGCGAGGACCACTCCCGAGTCCCCTGCTCCCGGGTCCCCTGCTGCTGGGCCCCCTGGGAGCCATGCAGCAGGTGCCCCACCCCCAGTAAGAGGGGCAGGACCACGCCCCCCAGTGGAGGAGAAACTGCTGTGAGAGGTCAGCAGACGCTCTGGGGCACGAGGTGAGCGCTTTCTCCAGCCAGGGCGAGTCCACCACACCCGGGCTACGGTCCCAGGAGGGACTCGGACAGAGAGACGGCGAGCCCGCCGGCTCCCAAAACCACCTCAAGCTTGTCCCAGGCAAATGCCCCACCTGCTCCGGGACCCGGCCAGAGAGGGGGCCAGCAGGACACGGGCCTGGCTCTAGGCCAGTGCGTCTGGATTCCAGACTCCAGACAGCTGGCCTGGACTCCAGACAGCTGGCCTCTCAGAAGGATGAGGTTTTACCAACCATCCCTTCCCTGACGCACGAGCTCCCACCGGCCACGAATGGCTCCTCCCATCCTGCTCTGCAGCCTTGGTCCCCTGTGCTGCCCAGTGGTCAGCGGACATCTCTGCCGAGTGGTCAGCAGCCTGCGGGACAGGCTCCAGAGCTCCGTGAAGCTCCCTGGCCCCTGAATTCTGGTGGTGTCACTGCGAGAAGCAAAGGCCCTGGGGTCACAGTGACCTTGCTGCTTCCCAACATTCTGCCCCGAAAAGCTCCACCCTGAGGGGCCTGGGAAGTACCTGTGCTGTTTCCTAAAACAGCCAAGTACCACCTAATGGGTCCTGGCTGGGAACAGGGAGACCCTCCCACGCTGACTCTGCTCTCGATCAGGGCCCACCGAGTACTGCTAAAGGCGCTCTCTCTGCACGCACCTTTTGAGCTCCTGAGTTATATGCAAGTTCTTTCTCTCTGGGGCTTACCTCCCCCTGTGACCAGCCTTGAGAAGTGACCCTGTAAAAAGTTGACAAGGTTTCCAGTCCTCCCAAAGAAAGTTCCAGAACTGGCAAATAAACAAGTGTTCGTGTTTTGTTGCTTACTGGTTTGTCTTTACTCATGTTCCTGGTAACCTGCAATACTGCAGAGAAAAGGCTTTCCTAACCACCAGGCAAAAAGGAGGGGACAAGGGAGAGGGTGCCTGGGGAGCTCAGTCAGGTAAGCATCTGACTCTTGATTTCAGCTCAGGACACGAGCTCGTGGTTTGTGAGTTCAAGCCCCACATCAGGCTCCACACTGACAGTGCGGAGCCTGCTTGGTATTCTCTCTGCCCCTCCCCGCTCGTGCTTGCTTTCTCTCTCAAAATAAATAAACTAAAGAAAATTAAAAAAGGAGGGGACAGGAGGGTGAGAAGACCCTGTCCTGAGAGCCTCTGCATCGCACAGGCAGTGACTCCGGCTGAAGTGTGAGTGCCTGGTGGGGAGGTGCGCCCACTTACAGGAGAGGAAGGCTGGCCGCAGAGAAGCTCCGGGCAGCCCCGGTTCCCACCCCGGCACCACTGGGACACCCCATCCCAAACCAGCACCGTCCCAGCTGAGCGCAACAAACTCGCCTGGGTGTCGGATGCGGCAGGCAGGAGGGACTCCTGCGGCCGGGTGTGGGGGAAGCGCTGGGGCACGCAGTGGAGCAGACCCGGAGGCACGCTGTGAGAGCGGTCACAACCGGACAGTGACTAATTGCACGGGGCTGGTAAGAACCACACAGGCTCACCCCCGAGCCCTTGCAGCCCACTGGGAGCAAGGTGCCAGGGAGGAGGCCGAGGGAGGCAGTGGGAAGACTGCACAGGCCCCCAGCACACCACGTACTGCCTTTACAGGGACAGATGTAGGGACCGAGGGCTCTGCGCACCGCACAGGGCAGGCACGGGCCCAGGGTGCCGAGGCCAGGAAGCGGGCAGAGAGGGCAGGCCCGGGCATGGGGGCTCCGGCGGCTGGCACCCTCTCCCCGCAGTATTCGGCTCCTGCAGACGGGGCTCCTCCCCCTGGAGGGCAGTTCACGTGGCAGGGAAGGGGCTGGTTTGCTCTCTGAAGAGGTCCCAGCACGAGCCCAGGCAAGCTCATGGGAAGTCCGCATCGCCCCACGACTGGCCCCACCCACCCTCCCTCTCGGAAGCCTGAGAAGGGCACTTCTGTGGACACGGAGGTGGAACGGAACATGGGCCAGGGAGCCAGGCAGTAGGGGCCGGGTCAGGGGAGTAAGAACAGATCCCCTGAGAAATTTCCAAGGCTATTCTCCCCAGTAAAACAAACAAATAAGCATTATGAAATAAAGTCGATCATCATCATTAGTTTTAGCATAAAATCTAAGCTTTCAGTGAACTGTCTTCTTTGCACTAGGCCCCTGGGAGCTCCATTTTCGGAGCCCGCTGACCCACAGACAAGGCCCGTCCCCCCGTCCTGGGCACTTGGTGAGCCCAGGAGGGGAGGCAGTTGAGGAGCTCAGAGGCAGGTTGGCCGGACCCCTAAGTGCAGCAGGGGTGACCTCCGCGGCCCCCGCACAGCTGGACGTCACCCTCACCTCCGTGGCTGTTAGAACACAGGTGCTCAGACCCTTCCCAACTTTCTCCACCAGAACCTCCCAGGTGGGATCTGGGAAGCTGTCCTCGTCAGCTTTCCAGAAGAACCCCTCCCAGGGGCCCCGAGGCTCAGAGGGACAGGACTTCAGCCTCTCGCACGGGGTCCAGGTTGCAGAAGTCCCCCCACGGGGCAGGGCAGGTGCAACGCACAGGTGCCACACTGCGGTCTACCTAACTGTGTTCTTCTAATCAACTTGGGTCTTATTAGATACGGCTGGTTTTACACAAACTTCATTTCACTCCCAGAGAGAAGTGTCCACTTGCTCTGGGGGAGGTGACGCGGCCAGCAAACGGTCCATGGCGGGGCCTCCCTGGCAGAACGGAGTCACAGCTTGTCACTGAGACGGGCCCGCTGACGGGAAGGGGTAACCGTCTCCCGGGCTGTCAGCTCAGGAGCACTTGATGCCAGGACGCTGCCCGACGACACCTGGCCACCCCGTGTCGCTCATGCCACCGCCCTCCTCCTGCCACCCACCCCGTCCCTGCCCAGTGCAGCGCTATTCACGTGCCCAGCACCTGGAGAGTTCTCTGAGGCCCGCCCCCCCCCCCCCCTTCCTGGTGCTACAAACACCCCGAGGAGAACATTTCTCGTGCCGTCTGGGGCTTCACTGCTCAGGGCACATGCCCACTCCAGGGCAGGTGCTGTCCCCAAGCGCCCTCTGTGTCTGTCAGATGATCGAGTGAGTGAAGGAACCGTGAGTGCGGGGGGAAAACGTGACTGACCACGATGGACAAAGCCCCAACCTGCAGTCTTCCTTCTCTGCCTCTGCTCCTCATGCCACGGTGCCAAGGAGCGTTTTCGAGACGTGACAGGACACTACTCTTTTTAAAGAACTGAAGAATGACTTCTAACCTACAGTTCTCAGCAGCTACAGAACTAAGCTTCTGGAGAGTTCTAAGGGCCCCCAGCGGCCCCTCCATCCAGGCCCGACCTTTGCTGTTACCCCAGGGCGCCAGCTGACGGCCAGTCTCTGCCGCGGCCTGGGGCACTGACGCGGGCGCTCTGGTCACTGTGAAAGTCAAATATGATAACTACTTGAAAACCCAGCAGTTTAGAAAACTTGCGATCTTACCGAAGACGCCTTGTCCACACAGACAGAGTGGTGTCACCTCCCCGCGTGTGCAGCTGGCAGCGTGGAGAGTAGGCTGGGCAGACACAACCGCTGCCTGGAAATGGCCCAGAAGGAGGGAGGCCGGCCCAGAGACGCTCCGGGGACAGGCGCCTGGTGGCTCCTGGTCCCACTGGCCACTGCAGCCTGCCACTCTACAGGGACATGGCCAGCGCCTCGTCCACGGGCACGGGACAGAGCCCCGCAACGCAGCCGATCGGCAGCCTGGGGACACCCGACACGTGGCGGCCGGCCCACCTGCCCCTGTCAAGCCACCCTTGCGGGCACGGCACAGCCCAAACCCCAGCAAACACAGCAGTGCGGTGGTCACGTGTTAAAAGTCAGGAAGGTATGCCGACTCCGAGTTCGGTAACGCGGATTCACGTTATGTTTTGACGGGTCACCACACGCTCGGACACTGCCTCGCGTCCTCTGCTCCTGCCCAGTAACACAGTGGTTTGTCCACGGAGGGGCCATCCAGCCCCGGGCACCGATGAGGGGTCGTCACCACGCTCTCCCCGGGGTACCACCAGCGGGTCTTGCCCCGGACCCTGGCCTCCTGTAGGACGGGGACCTTGTCTGGGTCCACGTGTGCACACGGAGCGAGGCCCGGCGATGAGGGGCAGCAATGGCCACAGCTGGAGACCCGCGGGAGACGCGGACAGGACAGAAGCTGGGGAAGCAAGCCGCCCACGACAGCGAGGGCAGAACAGCCCCGGCCTCCGCAGCCAGGCCCATGCTCTGCCGTGGCACACCCAGCATGCCGAAGGACAAGGTCACCAGTTTACAAACTCGGGAAACAGCTCTAAAAGCGTGCCCAGAAGGCAGGGGACACCTTTTTAATGTGACCTGGCAAGCGAACAGATTTGGAAAACTAAACTCATATTTGCAGAACACCTATCACTGACGTAACCTAAGTAAACAGTAACAATTAACCCTTTCTCTTCCACAGTGAGTTCCTCCTGGGGCCCCACCTGCAGGTAAGTCCTCCTCCCCCTCCCCACAAGACGCAGACAGCGGCGGGCCCGGTCTCAGGCTTGGCCCAGAGGAGCCCATCGCAGCCAGACAGTGCTGACCAGTGCCCTTCCTGAAGGGGCCAGGCCCACAGGACCCTGACCCGGGGACGAGTGCGCAGAGGCCGGCTGGGTGGTGCCCACGGATGCGGGCAAGGAGCAG